TAAATACCCTTTTTGGTCCCTCTACTATAGGAAAAAGCCCTTTTTTGGTCTCTGTACCGAAAAAATCCCCTTTTTGGTCCTTACTGTTCACAAATCCGGCCCATTTTTAGTCCTTCCGTTAAATTTTGGCTGATGTGGCAAGTTAATTAACGAAAACACTCATTCCTTTTTTTTATTAAATTACGTGAAAAATCCACGTGGTAAAAATTGATGACATGCTAAATTTTTTTATTTTTAATTACTGATATACCCTCATCTTCTTCCCTAGCTTTTCCTTCCTCCAGCCTTTTTTTTTTCTTTTTTTTCTTTTACCTCCAGGCAAACCCAAGAGCCTAGGTTCGCAAAACCTAAAAGGCAGCCATAACCAACAAACAAAATGAACCAACCAGTGTTAATATGAAAGAGAAAAAGGTTCGCACCTAGAATTTTATTGGAGCTAACATCCCTAACAGAAGAAAACCACTTCAGAGTTAAACACTTAGTAAAGCTTCAACAGATTAAGCAAATACACTGGCCCAAAATAAAAAGGAACAAATATAAATGCAGCAAAGCCACTAACAGGTGCTTCAGGTTCTGGAGATTATCGAGTTGGCCTCCAAGAGTTCCAGTGAGATTTAGTCCTTGAATTTTACTGCAAAAGGTGAGATAGCAGGTTATTTTGGCTATATTATACATAATAGATAACCAATCAAAGAACGAAAAGATAATCCAAATATTCTACTATACAAGGCAAAATCCAGGGAAAAAACTGTATGATTTAGGATAAATCCAAATCCCTAAATCTTAATCTTAATTCTATCTTCTTCTTCTTTTTTTCTTTTTTTTCTTTTTTTTTTCAGGAAACCAAAATCCAAAACAGCAAGTGAATAGGTAGAACATAGAATCTTTTCTTTTCCTACATATTCTTGGCATCCAAACAGAGCTTTAGAGCACATAAAACAGTGAAATTCATAACGATCACCAATTAAGTTACTCAAATAGCATCAATTTCCACATAAACACAATCAATCGCTTCTTGAACCTCTAGAAAATCCAATCCAAACGAAACGAAAGGTTCGCACCTCACGAACCCAACTCGTGGGTTCACACCTAGCGAACCCAAGCTCCTGGGTGCGAACCCGCGAGCTGGGTTCGCACCTTGCGAACCCAGGCTCTTGGGTGTAAACCCACGAGCTAGGTTCGCGAGGAACCCAAGCTCCTAGGTGCAAACCCGCGAGCTGGGTTCCTCG